TCGAAACCATGCCTAGACACTCCACCAAAACATCGAATACATCTAAAGGGCAAAGAGCAGAAAAAGCACATGCCCTTTCCAGGGTGCCGAAATGAAAGGAAATGAGCTTAACACAGAAAAATGCAGCTACAGCAGCTCCACTAATAGGAGCAGGCGGGAAGAAGCGCACGAGAAACTCGCAATGGAATGATCTACTATCATTACCCGACCTTTCTGTAGTAGGAGACCCTGTCGCTATCTTGCAGCATCGCCAAATGGTTCTCCTCTGCGAACTGTCCGCAGATGCTGAGGGTATGCACTTCTTCGCTTTCATTCACCTTCGTCGTGGCTACGATTCCCATCTTGAGGAGCAAATCGAGCTTCTGGTTGAGGCTCCAGTCCGGGAAGTACGCAGACATGCGACGGCTCTTCAAAGGGGTTTCAAGAATGAGGCCCCGCAGCTCGCGGTGCAGCCGTGTGCCCCCCCCGCCGTCTCCCCCTGAATAATCTGCTTTCTTCTCGTGTGCAGGCTGTGCAGCAGATAGGCTGTGGACTGCTGACCCCTTGCTGCTGAGCCTTCTCTGAAACTTTAGCGGCCTGCTGACATTTCTACTCCTGCTGCTGCTGCTGCTGGTAGTGGAGGTGCCTGAAGCACTCCTTGAAGTAGAGTTTTCAGAACACGCTGTATTGCTGCTTGCGTTTTCCTTGTCGTCATCCTCGTCCTTGATGTCGGCTTCGCGCTTTCGACCGTTAGCAGCTATGCTGTTGCGGCATGTAGTGCTGTGTGCCGTGGTCGTCAGGGGGGGTTTGCAGCCAGACCGGCAGCGGGGACCATGCGTTCTTGCATGGGTTCCTCCACTTTCCTTGAAAGAACCCTGCCGGCCCCCGCGCTCAGAGGACCACATGGCCCCTGCCATGGTCTCTGCNCACTTTCCTTGAAAGAACCCTGCCGGCCCCCGCGCTCAGAGGACCACATGGCCCCTGCCATGGTCTCTGCTGCGGGGGTTCTAGTGACCTCGCCTATATCTGTATGTATATGGAGTTACGTGTAGCTAATGCCCACACAGCAGTCCGGTCGTCACCAGCCTTCGGCAGTCCGATGGCCTGTACACGCAGTCGCCCACCTCAAGGGGCTTTATGTGGCCATTACCTGATCTGAAAGGAAGCAGATAGGTAGTGATATGAAAAAATTGGTCACAGTCCTGGAGGGTGGGTGCCATTGAAGGCGGTCGCCATCACATCTTTCTGTGTGACGTTTGCCTTGCTTCGTCTACTGACGTCGCTGCATTTCTCTTTACGGGTATTTTAAGTAATAAATGTATTCCTGAATATTAAACTCTTGTGCTCTGATATTAGGGGGACAAGTTCTTCGTTGTCAAGACAAGGGGGCTGCAGCCAGTGGTGGGGTTGGTGTGGTGTCGTCAGCTGCCATATGCTACT